CAATAATATGTAAACATTTGAAATGTATGTTAATGTTGTTAATTATTTTGTATTGTAATGCTTTGGCAACATTGTTTAATTTAACTTAGAGAGAGAGAGAGAGAGAGAGAGAGAGAGAGAGAGAGATTTTTTTGTCCTGATTGGTTGTTGTGTTTGCTGTTCTGGTTTGTTAAAAACTGTTTTATTAATGAGGATTTGCACCGCACGCACGCACGCACGCACGCACGCACACACGCACACGCACACACACACACACACACACACGCACATGCACACGCACACGCACACACACACACACACTCCAGGGTCTGTGAGTTGTTGCTGCTGACACAGTGACCCAGTCCAGCAGATGTAGGTTACCCTTTCTCGCAGCCCTCTGGGTTTCCGCTCATACTCACTGGTGGGGAGTCACTGTTGCTGACGCACAGCTAAAATAGTTTATAGTGATACTGTTTGCTTCTAATTTTCTCACTGCTGCATCTTTACACTTGTGTTTTCAGGCTCTGCAGAAGTTAGCAAGCCAGTACCTAAAGAGAGACTGGCCTGGAATCAACCCTGATGACCAGAGAACAGACTACAGGTCGGTGTGTGTGTGTTTGCGTGTGTGTGTTTGTGCATATGACATTTAGAAGTATGCAGCCATAGGTTTTCTCCTAAAACACAGCTAAAAAGCTATTTTGCAAGTTGCACCTCTCAGATGTAAGCAAAACATTCATGCTGAATTGCTCTTTAATTTAATTTATTATATTCATCCTTCATGAGACAGGTCATTCACATTTGAGTAATTATTTACTGTAACAATGTTACTGATATGTTGTAGGAACCAGAAATGAAAGCATTAACTAATTTGAACTGGTATTAGTTTTGTGTTTGTCTGTGCTAATAGCAACTACTACAGATATGTTCCCCTTCCATAGAGTCTCCCTGACCTGCAGTGGTGTGAGGAATAAAACAAATCAGCAATTCTGCAGGAGAGCTTTATAATTGTGTGATACATTTCTCTAGGGAGTGTGAGTTGTACAACAGCAACCATTCAGCATTTTGTGCCTTTTCTCTCTCTCCAGGAATGTGTATGCAGTGTGGAGGTCGTACTTAGAAGGAACCGTGCAGGTCAGCCAATCCAGGCTCAACGTGTGTGACAACTACAAAATTCAAGTATCAGAGCCCGCTAAGACTGTGAGACTGTATAAGGAGCAGCAACTCAAAAAGGTGGGTAGATTTGTGGTTATCGTTTCCTGAAGCATTCTGTGTTCCCTTGCACTTTCTACAAAATCCTTCTACAGTATGCACTCACACTGAGTTGCTGTGACTCAGGTGGGTCTGATCTTTCTCTAACAACTTGCCGGTTTTCCTTTTTTCTTCTTCTTCACAGACCATAGATCAGTTGAGTGGCATTCAAGCAGAGCTGCAGGAGTCGGTGAAAGACTTGGCAAAAGCCAAGAAAAAATACTACGACTGTGAGCAGGTTGCCCACGCCATTCGAGAAAAGGCCGACATAGAGGCCAAGTAAGATCACCGTGGCGCTCTGCGTGTTTGTGTGTGTGTGTGTGTGTGTGTGTGTGTGTGTGTGTGTGTGTGTGTGTGTGTGTGTGTGTGTGTGTGTGTGTGTGTGTGTGTGTGTGTGTGTGTGTGTGTGTGTGTAGT